TGGGTTTCAGTAATTCCTCTTGGTTACATTACCCTTGATCACGCCCTACCAGGCGTCCTACACCCTCCTCACCACCGATTTGTACCCCTTGTCCCTGGGCTTGTTAACTTCTCACCTTTTTTAGCCACTTCTTCAATTCTGTGGATACAACTGCTCAATTCCTTCTGGAGCCGCTGAACTTCTAACAGGCTTCTGTGTTCACGATGCAGGTGAAGTCCTAGATCCTGGGTGGGCGGCGACGTTGGCACAGTAAGGTCTGCTTGTCCTGGCTGCGATGTGTACAGGTACACTTTGGCTCCGGAGCTGGAAATTTTGACTTTGGATTGCCGGTGGCCGCACTGCCGGCCTTCCTGGCTTCTTGACTCCTTCTTTTCTACCCTGGGCTCAGTTATTTTCGACTTCGTGTGCACACATCTCTGCGAGATTTGGGGCTCACTTCGGAGATGATGTTCCCTCACGTGCTCCTCAAAGTGTCTTCGTTTCACATCCCGTTTGGCTAGGTGGACGGCGTAGCTGAGTTTCTCTTGGGATATGACAGAAAAGGACACAGAACTGCTCAAGTCAGGCCCACTTCTCAAATCCGGTCCTTTACAGTAGTATGATTCATTGTAGGAGTGCTTCAGTTTTTCAATTCTAATTGCGTGTGGACAAGAGTATCTGATCGCCAAGTTGCTTGGATGGGTAGGAACATCCCGATTAAACTGCAGCTGGTGTTTTCACAAACAAACAACACACAAGCACACATTAGACATATGACATGTTGCATAGCTGGTGTATGATGAATACCAAGTTTCCGTCATTTCACCCACAAGATTATTTATGCTAAGAAGGGTTTTTCTGTTGTACTGATAGGTCGGAGTGTATTGTCTACAAATATCATACTGAGATCAGCTTCTAAAACTGTCAATCAAAAAATAAAAAGCTTCAACACTACTGAAAGCCAACAGAAGTTATACCTATTCAGTGCCAAGTTTGTTATATTACCCCAAAAAAACTTCTACAACCCGTATCCATCCATTGAAGACAAGCTTTTATTTATTTTCAACAAACCATAAGATCCAGAGAAAAGAAAAAGAAAAAAAAAAGCTTCAAGCAGTAACCAGTTAAGTTGTCCCACTCCTCAGCTATGTCCTTCTACCCTGGTGGCACTATGGGTTAGGCATTAAGCTGGTGATTAGCCATATGCTTTGACATGTATCCAAAATAGGGTGGATAGACAGATGGATGGATCTCTCCAAAACAAAGTCACTGCCATCCAGTCAATTCCACTCACAGCAACCATCCCGGGGCAGGGTAGAGCTGCCCCCGAGGGTTTCTGAAACTGTAACTGCTCACAGGAGTAGAAAGCCTCATCATTTTCCTGTGGAGCAATTCGTGGTTTCAAACTGCAGTCCAATGGGTAATCACTATGCCACAGGGCTCCCAAAGGATCTCTAGCGGGGTGGGATGAAGAAACAGACAGGTGATAAAATGAACAAAGTAAAACAATACTTTCGGTAGTCACGACACATTTCTTTCAACTTTTAAGACACGTGAGAGCCACTGGATAGAACTGAATAAAAGTTGGTGGTTCAAAATCCACCAGCTTCTCCTTAGGAGAAAAATGAGGCCGCCTGCTTCTATAAAGATTTATAATCTTAGAAACCCTACAAAGGGTCTTTAATTGGAATTAACTGGATGTCAATGGGTTTATTAGGTATCATAACCAAAATCCCAAACCAAATCCACTGCACATCACGTCAACTCTGACTCATTGCGGGGCCCCCCACCCTCCCCCCTGTGTTTCCAGGACTGTAAATCTTAAGGGGAGTAGACAACCTGAAGAGTAGTCACCTGAGGAGTGGCTTGGTGGGCTGTGAACTGCTAATCTTGTTGATAACAGCCTAGTGTTAACCCCACCACACCACTATGGTTCCTTATTTGCTATTATTAGGAAATTAATCTTTTGGGGGCCAATTTTCTTAGCTGTGACAATGACATTAAGTAACAGAGTTTATTTTGGAGTTCTAAAATACTTAAAAGTGTCATAGATCTGCAATGTCCTTTGAAATGGTTCATCAGAAACCTTTCATAGGGCGAAATGTTAACAGTGGTTGAATGGCAGAGGTGGATCTCATGCAAAGGCGTTTCGTTGAGCTTTTCCGTACACTTGAAATGTCTCATAATAAAAGCTGAAGAAAACACTACCTGAGTGTGATACTTCCTGGAATCACAGCTTCCATCTAGCTGGACGTCAGATGTAAGATGAACACAGGGTGGAACAGGTCTGCCTGGTCCCATCGTGTTGGATGGTGTAGAACAAGAGTGGAATCCTAGTCACCAGCCAACAGACTGCCCCTGAAACCATCGCCTGAAATGAAAGCAAGTTACTTTCAGATCGACAGTCTTTAAATCAAGAGGAACAAAGAACATGCAAGGTCATGCACATGTAATAGTATTCTAGAAGTAGCCCAGGACATAAGGAGCTCAGGCCAGAGTGAGTGTCTAAGACTATGATAGATTCTCCCATGTACAAAAAGGAACCACATTTTGGGAATTCCCATTTCTAAAATAGGGGACACTCTTTTTAATGACAATCTCTTGCACAAGTTCCAAATCTTGAAGATCTGAAGTGGGACATTACTCCCAAAAATCAGCTTTGCCAAGATCAGCTAGCACTTTCCAGCAGGGCAGGTCTGTGGCAAGAGAGCCTACATTAGTACTCGAGTCAAAAGAGCAACGTGCCTCCCACAACTGGGCAGTCCACATGGACCTCATAAACTTACAGGACCACAGGGTTATCTGGATTTTAATCAGGATCTGCCATGAACTTGCAGGACGCCTGCTCTCAAGATTCCATTTCCCATCTTCCCACTGTCCCATTCCATACATGAGGTAACAGATTGAAAGCATTTTGTAAACTGTCAAATGCGATGCCCACATCATCGTCCCTCCCTGTTCTGAACATGCCTAACAGACACCCTGCCCCCACTGCCACTCACCCCGGGGCTCAAACAGGCTGTGTTGGCTCTCATTGCTATTTACCTATTTCACAGGCATAGGGCTCATCTTCCCAGCTAGACAAGGTTCCTCGAGGGGAAGGGCCTTGTCTTGCTCTTCTAGTTCCCACAACACAGTGCTTTGAGCATGGTAGGCAAACACATGTTGGGCTATGCTGAATCTCTGTCAACTGACTCCTTTTAAGTGCACTGGGAAATGTGTTCTCTCACGGAATCCTATACCAAGTCATTTGGGAAAGGCTAAAAACAAAACAAAAATCCTACAAATCTCTAAATGAAGCTTTTGAAAAAATCCAAGGTTTGACGACTAGATTTGCTTAAAGACCAACACGTCTGCAGGAGTCGAGGCAGCTGTCCAAAAGTCCGTATTTCTAAGGCTGTTGAGACACAAGCACAGCAGACGGCACAGGTGGCGGCACAGGAAGGAGGCGGTTCCGAATGGCTTGGCGCCGTCCCAGGCCGGGCGCTGCAATTTGCAGGAGCGCGGCCAGGACAGGGTGTCTGCATCCTCGAGGTGATAAACACATCCCCTCAGCTGAGTCCATGCACCTAAGGCCTCAGAATCCTTTCTCCACTGGGAAAAGACTATGATCCGCAGCTCCAGGAATGCCTCAAGTCACACACACACACACACACACACACACAATACAACACACAGATTCACAATGTCCAGGGACACCCTTGGCTGTCCCCCTATACAAAGTCTTGGGACACCCCTCACCTCACAGCCTGTCCCTTCCCTGTTGTTCCAGGAACCCTCCCAACGTCTCCCACTTTGAAGTCTCCCTCCTCTGTTCAGACACCACTGCCTACGCCTTTAGCCACAACCCAGGTCAAGCCTCCCCCCAAACTGTTCCCTCCCACAGAGCCCCAAGACCCAGCCCTAAACCTGCTCCCTACACAAACTACTGAGACGCCTCTCTCAGTCTGTCCTCCTCCAAATCATTTTCTTCCAAACGGTCTCCCCTCACTCTGGCTCCAAGGAGCCCTGCGGCCCGTCTCCTCCCCTGCTGCTGAGGGTGGCCCCTGAGAAGGCCAAAGCCCGTTCCCTCCCTTGGAACGAGAGGCATCCCCAACACTTCGGGCACCTCCCGAGTCATTCTTGCTCCTAACACTCCTGAAACATGACCACAGACCGTTTCTTCTCCCACTGGCCGGGTACAGCCCCGTAACCCGGACCCAGCCCCACATGTGGGTAAGGCCCCCTGAGTTCGCCTCTGCTCCGTCAGCCCCAAGAAGCTGCCACTCCTTGTCTCCTGCCCAGAAGCCTCACGCCCTACTGTGGATTCTCTACTCATGGCAGCCAAGCTCAAGGTACCTTCATCCATTTCTTCTCCCATGGAGCCTGTCACCCAGACTGCAGCAGGTGCCCGCCCAGGCATCGGTAACCCCACAGCTGCAAGCACCCCCAGAGCCTGAGGCCCCTGAACCACCTCAGGAGCTGTTCTAGACGGTCTCCTCCACAGGCCTGCGAAGCCTTCAGAACCAGTCTCCCTTTCCACAGGGCCAGGGACACTGAGAGCAACGGGCCCTTCAGTAACCCGTCTCCTCCCCCAAATGCCTGAATCGTCAGGGGAGCCGGCATCCCTCGTCAGAGACCCAGGGACCCCAGGAGCCATGGGTGCTCCAACAGCCAAGGGAACCCTAGCAGTCCCAGGTACCCCAGCCATCTGTCTTCTTCCCAAGCACAAGGGTTCCCCAGAATGTGTCTCCTCCCCGCCAAGCCCAGGCAATCCCAAAGCCACAGGATCCCCTGCAGTCAGTATCCCTCCTGATAAACCTGAGAACCCCGCCGAGCCAGACCTTTCTCCCATGGAGTCAGGCACCCTGACAGATGTGGGCAGCCTGGTGTCAGGACACCTGGCATCTGCAGGTACTTCCACAGTCTCCCTCCTTCTCCACACCACTCCCTCCTGCCCAGAGGCAGTCTCCTCCCGCACAAGCCTGGGCCATTGGGGCACCAGGGGCATCCCGCCCGCCACAGGGGCCTGGGCAGTGAGGCTCCTTCCCAACAAGCATGAGAGCCCTCCACAGCCAGACTCCATGCCCGAAGGACCAGGTACTCTATAAGGGGTGGGCACTTCCGCAGCCATAGGAACCCTGGCATCCTGCCTCCTACCCCACCATCTTGGGACACCCCCAGAGCCAGGCTCATCCCCTAGAGGCCTAGGTTCCTCTGAATCCACAGGAACCCTGGTAGCCAGGGGAACCCCAACAGCCTGCCTCCTTTCCCATGATCCTGGGAAAGTGCCGGAACCAGTATCTTCTCTGACAGACCACAGCTCCTCAGCAGCCCGGGGCATCGTGGAAGCCAAGGGCATTCGAGTTGCACGAAGCCTTTCCCACAGGGTTGAGACATCTCTAGGGCTAAACTCCTGCCCCAGAGAGCCCGACACCCACCTGCCAGCAGCCACCCTCTCAGACCCGGGCACATCCGCAGCTGTGGGGACCCCGAGTGGAATACACCTGTGCTTGGGCACACCCGCTGCCTCGGGCAGGCCCACCACCTCAGACAGCCCCATGGCCTGTCTCCACCTGCATGGACAGGAAACCTCCCCACAGCCAGTATCGTGGCCCGCAGGCCCAGGCACCTCTAAAGCAGCAGGACCCCGAGCCTGTGGCTCCACCTCCGCTTGCCCCCTTTCCCAGTGGCTCAGAACCCTCCCACAGCAAGCCTCCTCCCCAACTACTCCAGGAACCCTCTCAGCTGGAAGTACCCCAAGAACCTGCTGCCTAGTCCACAGGCCTGGGGTACCACCATGGCCTGTCTCTTCATCTGTGGCCCGCGGGACCACCACTGGCTGGTCAGATCCCCATCGGCTGTGGATCCTCCCACAGACTGATTCCTCCCCCCAAGTCTTGGGTACTTCCATAGCCTGTCCTATTCCCCACAAGCCTGGGGCACCCCCAGAACCTGCCTCTTCCTCATGGGGACCAGGTACCCCTACAATCTGAGGCGCTCTCTGTGACCCTGGGTCACCTCTGGAGCCAGGCTCTACCCCCACAGCTTGTCCCCTTTCCTGGAACACTGGGTCACCCCCATATCTGGCTTCCTCTTCAACAGCAAAAGGCACCCTTATAAGGTGTCCTGTGCCCCACAGGCCAGGGAGCCCCGCAGAGCCTATATGCTCCACATCTGGTCTCCTCTGCCACATGCCGGGGGCCTGCGGTCTAGTCTCCTCGCCCAAAACAGGCACCTCCATAGCCTCTCCCCTCCCCCACCAGCCAGGGGTATGGCTGCAAGCAGGCTCTCCTCCCAGAGGACCAGGCATCTGTGGGGCCTGCCCTCTACCCCACCGACCTGGACGCGGGGCACCCCGGTAACCCATGTCTTCTTCCACAGTTCTGGGAACGCCTGCGGCTTCGGACCAGGCCGCGGCCCCCAATGCTCCCTTACTCTGCCCTGTTTCCCAAGAGCCTCGGGCAACTCCACTGCCCATCTCCTCTCCCACCGAGGGTCCCCTCATGCAGGAGACAACCCCGGCAGTCCAGCCAATAGCACCAGGCACCCTTACGGCTCGACCCGATGCCCTCTCACTGCCTGCCACTAACCCCTTCGCTGGAGGTACTCCTGTGGCCCCAAGGTCTGCCCTGGCCTGGCCTAGCACCCACGGTCCTGTGAGACCACCGCGACTCGTCTCCACCCACGAAGGCCGGCCAGGGGCACCCTTTTCAAGGGGTCCCTCCCCCGCAGGCACGGGAAGGAGCTCCACTCTGCCTTCTTCCCCACATCCCGAGGCGGCCCTCATAGCCTGCACCTTCAACCACAGTTCCAGAATGCTCCCGTGGCCCAGAGAGCCAGGGCGACCTTTCCTCTCGCAGCCCCGCGGGCTCGTGCCCTCTGTCCCCGCCTCATCCCCGCTGCGAGTCACCCACACGGACCCCGTGGGCCCTATCACCTGGGGTTCCCCCACCGCCCCGTTTACCCACACGACCTCTGGGTCTCTTGCCGCCTCCGTCGACCCTGCAGTCCTCGGCGTCCCCACGGTCTCATTCACCCCGCCTGCCTCTGGGGCCTCCGCTGCTGGTCGCCTGCCCCAGGGTCGCCCACCCGCCAGTCGTCTCTCTCGACTCACAC